TTGGAAGATGATAAAGATTCTCGACAAAATTACTAGAGAAGTGAATATTTTTATACGATGGATAACTTTGTCATTTGAGGTTTTTTATATTCTAACGTTACAGCATAATTCTGTAGTTAGATGGCAAATCCAGATACGTTGAAAAATATAAAAAAAAGTAAGCAATAGGTACATATATTTATCTGATTTTGTCCACTTTTAAATACTGATAATGTCATATCTAGTTTTGAACATGCACAGTGTAGGGAATAAAGTATTCACATAGGTATATCGTTTTGCATAAAAAAGCTTGAAATACAGCAGCTTGTATGTGTATATGTTAAAATTACCAATAATTAACATAATGGTAATCGCCATCTTACTATAGAATTATTTTTATAAAATCATTTGACATTTTTTTCACCCTGCGTATAATTCGGTATGCGTTTAAACGGTGTGTTTACGGTTTTGGTACATTTAAAAAATAGGGCTTCTATTTTCATCGGCCTTTTATCCTCTGACAAACATTTTTCCTACTCAAATCTGACGTTTTCTTCTTCTCTTTTTTGTGAAATTTATAAAATTCCAGTGTTGTCAGATTACTAAACTCGATTATCTAATCCGCAGCCGGTGCATAGAAAATATTCACTAGCCATTTAAACAAGATTTGCAAATCTGGATTAGATTTTAAAACGGTGCATATGGGCGTTAAACAAAGATATTGCAAATTTCAATAAGAGATTGCCTTAAAAGAAAGTTTTTATTTCTGTTTCGGTTTCGACCGAAACTAAGGACACCTTAGTATACTGAGAGTAGTAGAAAATAGTGAGTGAAGATTCTGTGAGGAGAAGGACGAAACCTTCATTTACATTTTAACTGAATGTGTAGCACTCCAGAATCCAAGGGCACTATACCTAGGAGCATATCAAATAGAAACTTGAAGCCACTCCAAATTCTACACTTCCTTGAGAAGATATAATTGAAAGGGTCATTATAGGCATTGAGACATTTCCTTGCTGCATTAGCGACACAAGGGGACACAATAGATATTTTAAGTCGAAGTGTATTAACACCCCATTCCCAACATAACATAACAGCGAGAAAACTGCAAAATAATGAAATCCACAAATCCCAGTTCATATTTTGGACATCCAACTACTATTATTTTTAAAATTTTAAATTCTGACAAACTGTCAGTATATTTTTTAGTCATTAAGATTACATATACGTTAAAATTAGTTATTTTTGTTTAGAATCGATAAAAAATAACATTTTAATTTTATTTTGGCCACATTTAAAAAAGTATATTTTAATCAAATTGTATGAAACTAATTTAATTACGAGTATTAAAATTAAAAACCTAAAAGTGGCGGTGGAGCTGAGGACAGAGCATTTGCCTTCCACGCGAATAGCCTGGGTTCGAATCTGGACCTATAGTCCCTATAGGGCTAATTTTTTTTATGTTTTTTATTTTATAAATTAATAAAATTTATAAATTATTTTAAAATGGCTTATTTTGTCTAAATCTAAAATAATTTTTTAAATTTGTAGATTTTCGTTAGTAGTTCGTAGAAAAAATATACTGCACAACTCGAGTGGATTGTCCATATCTACTCTTGTTGCGAAAATTAGGGAAATTTTTGTGATGAAAATTATTGTGATGAAAATTATTCAGTTTTTTCACTTATATATGATATTTTATTCATTTTCATAGATTCGCCAGAATTTTTTTACTTAACTTCAGTATACCTCTAGAATTATTATATATTATATGACTAGGGTTAGGGCTTTAGCCCCCCCAGATCTGATGACATAACTTCGCCCATGGCTCTACCTCTTCACATAAAATTATCAAACAAATATAACAAATTTTGTAAAGTTAGCCAAATATACATTTTCCAAAAAGTTTATCAGAATAACGGACTTAATACATAGATTTTTTTTAAATAGTTTTTTTTCTGTTTCTTGCATAAATTGTTCAAGTTTTATTTTTTATTAAAAAAAAAAAAATGTTTGTTGTTATTTCCTTTATAATTCATTAAATATAATTAAAATAAAATTTTAATTTTTGTCAGCACATACAGGTGTTCTCAGTGAGAACTTCTCTAGGTGCTTGTTATTATATGTATAATTGGTTTCCATTATTGTACTTTATTGTAACTTATTTATTATTGTAACTCATTGTAACTTATAACTATTAACTAACTATTAAATCTAGTAACAATTAAATCTAGTAAGTTATTGGAACATGGACCAACCATTAAGGGGCTTATTTACCGAGATATATAGGATGTTAAAAGTTTTAAATCAAAGTTCAAAATTTGCCATAAATCAAAAACGCATTTAAATATTTTTTTTAAATTTGGTGATCAATATGCTCTTTAAAAAAGTAATATTTTGACATCAACTAAAATTTTGACGAATGTAACCAGCTATCAAGGTTAGTGACAATTTTTCCTCCATTTTTACGCCATTGAAACAAACATTTTTTAATTTTTTTTTTAATCTCTATTGCGGTTTTAGGTTTCATTAAATATTAGAAATATCCAGTATTACGTCCGAAAATAATGAAAATTGTTTATTTTGCATAATAATGAAACCTAAAGAATTTCAAAGGGTTTTTTGGGATTACTGATTTTAAATATGTCATTAGAAATACAAAATGGCGAATACAACATGGTTTCCGAAACTATTTAAAATTACTTGTTTTCCATAAAAATGATACCAAAAGGGTTTCTAAGGGGTTTTTGGGGTTACTAATTTTGAATATGACATTAAAAAATAAAAATATAAAATGGCGAATATAATATGGATTCCGAAAATATTAAAAATTACTTGTTTTGCATAAAGATTAAACCAAGGGGGTTTCTAAGGAGGTTTTTGAGGTTACTGATTTTAAATATGACATTAAAAATATAACAATAAAATGGGGCTCCAACATGGCACCTGAAAATATTAAAAATTGCATGTTATGCATGAAAATGAAACGTGGACAGTTTCTAAGGGAATTTTGGGAGATTTTGAAAATGACATTAAAAATTGTAAATGTAAAATGACAAATACAACATAGTGCCCAAAAAAATTCCTTGGTTTCCATAAAAATGAAACCTGCGGTGTTTCTAAGGGGTTTTTTGAGATGGCTAATTCCAAATATGACTTTAAAAATTCAAAATGGTGGATCCAATATAGCGCCTGAAAATATTAAAAATTGCTTGTTCTGCATAAAAATTAAACCAGAAGAGTTTCTAAAAGGATTTTGGGGGATTTTGAATATGACATTAAAAATTTAAAATGGAAAATGGCGAATTCAATATGGCGCCCCAAAATATTAAAAATTACTTGTTTTGCATAAAAATAAAACCTCATTTGTTTCTAAGGGGTTAATTATTTAGAATATGACATTAAAAATTATATAAATATGAAATGGCGGATTCAATATGGCGCATTAAAATATTAAAAATTGATTGGGTTGCATAAAAATAAAACCTAAGAGGCTTTTGGTGTTACTGATTTTGAAAATGACATTACAAATTAGAAATGGAAAATGGCGAATACAACATGGTGCCCAAAAATATTAAAAATTACTTGTTTTGCATAAAAATGAAACCTGGAAAGTTTCTAAGAGGTTTTCGAGATCGCTGATTTTGAATTTGACTTTAAAAATTAGAAATACAAAATGACGTATCCAATATGGCCCTTCCATACGCCCTTCTCTACAATCAAGGAGCATTTTTTGGTTTATCACACTCCACTGTTATATGTTTTCCTGTACATTTAATGCACCTTGGTTACTTCCTTATTTTCAAACTCTTAAATCCAATATTTTGTGTAATCCCAAACATAGAATATACAAATTTGAAATGTATGCTATGTACAGTGGCGGCTTGTGGTAATTTAAAATGGGTGTTAATTTTTTCCAATAATTTATCATTTGTAAGTTCGGTTCAAAACTTTGTACAAGTGTAGTTATCAGGGGCGCATATATGGGGGGTAATTACCCCCCCCCACCAATAATGTTTAAACCTAATTTTTTATAGATACTAAAAATGTATTGCACAAACTATTGAAAGACCAATTGCAGTATTTTTTGTTCAATTTGGCAGAAGCGTTTTTTTACTTTCGTCGGCTGTCCGCCACTCAAAGCGTCTAACTTAGTTTCCCACTCTACGTTGTACGTGCTTGTTTGTATCTCAGAATCTCACTCTTTCTTCGACTAATATTGCTTATATAATTTTGTTTTTATTTTGATTTCTACTGGAAGTACTGGATACTGGATCACCAAAGTGATAGTGATACTAAAGTGATACACTGTATTCATGTAAGGGTTTTACTTTACAGGTATTTTTATGAAGTTTAGTAATTTAGATTTAAATTTATGTGATTAAAATATCTAAAATTTACCATTGTTGCAAATAATTTTTGTTCTTGCACTTGCAGATACTAAACACAACAGAAATTAGCAATGAGTAAGAGAAAACAGAATACCTTAGATAATTATTTGTTAAAACCAAAACAAAATAGGGGAATAATAACCTCGGAAGTCGTGAATTTATCACCAGTCAGGAATCCTCTGAGGAAGCGGGTTAGAGTTCGAGTATGGGTAAACAAACCGCCGAAACTAGCGCCGGTAGCAGCAGTGACCACAGCGTTGCCACATTTAATATTTTACATGGTTATAAAAAATCGATAGACATGCCCCTTTTGTCAATACATCTAAAATAATTACATTGCGGGAAAAATATTCGGTTTTAATGTACTCTATGGTTCCGGATCAAAATTTTACGTACCCGTTTTCAATTCACAGAAAAAATGATAAAGATATTAAATGCTTTTTATCAAAACGACATTTTGACACTTTTTCTTGGCTAACATATTCGCAAGGTCTGGAGGGTATATTTTGTAAATTTTGCGTTATTTTTTCAAAAGTGGGTGGTTTACATCAGTCAACTAAGTTAGGACGTCTTGTTACCACTCCACTAAATAAGTATTCCAAACTATTCGGAAAAGATGGCGATTTTATCATGCATGATAAATCGGTCTATCATAGTAAAGCTGTTACAGAGGGACATAATTTAATTAAAATTTATGAAAACCCAGAGATAGATGTAAGAAATACATTAGATCAAGAAAGACAAAGGCAGATTTTAGAAAATAAACTTAGATTGAAACCCATTATCGAGTCAGTAATATTTTTGGGACGACAACATATTCCTTTTAGAGGTCATAGAGATCAAGGATCTCTTGTCGTTTCCGAAGGTTCTTCTGAAGATGAGGATAGTCTTGTAAATAATAAAGGTAACTTTCGTGAATTAATTAAATTTAGAATAGAAAGTGGCGATGTTGTATTAAAAAAACATTTAGAAAACACTTAATCTCGTGCAACCTAAATTAGTAGTTATACGCAAAATGAAATAATTTAATTCTGTGGTAAGAAGATTTTAGAAACCATTTTACAACGAGTAAATAAAAGTTAATTTTATGGTGTAATATTTGACGAAACCACGGACATAAGTCATAAGTCACAAATGTCAATAATCTTAAGATACTGTTACGAAAATTGTCTGTACGAAGATTTCGTAGGTTTTATTGATTGCCACGCAATGTTTGATGAGGACACATTAGAACCAACAGTTAGTTGCTAAAATTTTGGCTCAAATCTTATTTAATTTTATTAAAAAAATTAATTTAAATCCCGATAAGTGTATAGGAATTGGAACTGATACTTGCAACTTAATGCTTGGTGAACAAAAGGGAGTCGTTACTGAATTAAAAAAAAATAACTAATGCACTTAAAAGTTCTTCTGTCAGCCACTCATTAAATTTATCTATTTCAAAAAGCTCAAACATTCAAGGTGTTAGAAATGCCGTTGGCGTTATAAAAGAGGTAAATGCATTTTTTAAAGCTTCCGCAAAAATATATTTTCTTCTTAAGCAAAAGTTAGATGGCCATAGTCAGCTTAAAAGTCTTTGTGAGACCAGATGGGTTGAACGTCACGAATCTGTGTTTCAGTTTTAAAGTACTATTCAAATCATTGTAGACCTTCTTGCTATTATTTCCCACTGGAAAGATCGGGACGCCTGTTCAAAAGCAGAATGTTTAAAAAATGCTATAGGTTCCACCGTTTTTATAGATTTTTATGCTCTCTGTCTCATATTTTAGCTTTGACTGTAAATTTAAGTAAAATATTGCAAAAGACGTCAATTGATAAACACTATGTTACTACGCTTACACAAAATGTTATCACGAGAAATCTTTGAATACCTACTAGTTCAATATATTTTTTCCTTCCATTTTCAATTCAAAAACGGATACTGAAATTAGTCAGTCGATTGAAGTAATTGCGGAATATATAAGCAAATTTGAAAATAACCAAAACAGAGATTTAATACTTTTAAAATTAAAATCTGAATTCAGTATTTGGAAAAGCGTAAAAAAAGCGATACAGATGGTATCGGTTTATATTCGTCTTGCGATGAAAATATATTTCCTTTATTAAAAAAATGCCTACAAGTTTTGGTCACTCTACCCGTTAGTGTAGCTTCAGCTGAAAGAAGCTTCTCCTCTCTGCGGCGCCTTAAAACCTGGCTTCGTTCAACAATGGGTCAGGATAGATTAGTTGGGCTATCACTTCTGTTTATACACAGAGACATTCAAGTAAATGTAGACCATATTATAAATAGATTTGCAAATAATAAAAATAGACGACTTGATTTTTTTCATTTCATGTTTTCTGGTCATGCTATGCCCAAGAAAATATTTTTGTTTGTTTTTGTTATGTTTTAATTTATAAGCTTTCGTGTTATTAATGTTTTTAAAATGTGTTTAATATTTATTATACATGTAAAAGTTGTTCTTTTTAAATTTACTTGTATTATATGTTTTTTGTCTGTTTTGTTTTTAAATTATATCAGAAATAAAGTCAATATTTTCACTACCTTCCCAAACTTAAACTCTGGATGCGCCACTGGTAGCTATTATTATCAATATCATACTATTAATGAATGAATAAATGAATATTTTAGTTATTGTAATATTTGTTTTGTTTTTAATACATTGAAAACCATCTATAAACATTATTAGTTAGTCAACTGACTTTTCTTCATATTTTGAGATTATTTTTAAATATATATATCAGGTTACGTAGATTGATTTTTGTGTAAAAAATATTATTACATGAAACTTTACCTACCATTTCTCCGTTTTTATTGTAAATTTAATCATTTTCACAATTTGTCACACATGTCAAATAAAATAATATATTTTTTAAATACCTTTTATTGGCAAAAAAACAAGTGGACTAAAATGTGTATTTTATAAGATCAGTCCTATCACAATACATAATATTACACAGATACAAACTAGAATGGCATTCTAAATTATACTCTTCACAGTTTAACAAATTCCTATTTTCAATCAGATTTTTTTTCTTGTTTTTTTTTCCAAAAATTTCAAGTTGATATTATTGTTTTTGAGTTAGATTTATTTTAAATATTTCAACCCCCTTAACACCTCCACTTTTATTTAATTTTTTTTTCACAATCAATAGGCCTCATCTCCTTATAGAGCTTGATTTCTACTAAAAATTTCATGTTGATATCGCTTTTCATTTTTGATTTTTTTTTTTTTAATTTCAATCCTCCTTAAACCCCCCATTTTTAATCAGATTTTTGTTTTCAAATAGAAGGGCTTCTTTTCTTTATAGAGCTTGATGTTTGCTAAAAATTGATATCATTTTTGAGTTTTTTTTTTAAATATTTTAACCCCCCTTAACTCCTCAATTTATTCTAATTTTTTTAGAATTAATCAATCTTATAGAGCTTAATTTTTACTAAACATTTCATGTTGATATCGCTTTTCGTTTTTGATTTAGGTTTTTTTATATTAAAACCCATCTTACCCCCTAATTTTATTCAGATTTTTTAAAATCAATGGACTTTGTCCCCTTATAGAGCTAGTGTTTGCTTATGCTTAACATTTTCAAGTTTATATCATTATTCGTTTTTGACTTATCGATCAGACAAAAAACGGACATCGGACAAAGTAAACCTAGAATAATAATATAATCAAGGCTAAAACAATAACATAATAGCCTAAAAAATGAGCAGACTATAAGAATAAAAGTCGTTTTGAAAATTATTTAATAGATATATCAGTACCTCGGAGATAAACTGCGCTGTCATTCTAATTAAATTTGAAGATTGACGAAATGAAAATGTTTTTATGTTATTTAAATCACCAAAACTGACTAGTTCGAGTTTGACATGTCGTAAAAGGGTAATGCAAAAGTTCAGACAATTTTAGTACCATCATTGCATATCTTTATTTTATATCTATGATTTGAAAGATTCGTATGTCCCGCCCTATTTTGTGACGTCACTATGTGCGTTGCGAAAAATAAGGTGATTTTAGTGATTTTAAGCAGGTCATTGTTTGTTTCACGGATCTGTTAACGTGTTGACATCTATTTTTAGCTAGAGGCCATCGAGGAAACATCTCGCTCCCTCAGGCTCATTCAGAAAAGTGAGTCAAAGAGACGCGATTAGCCAGAGCGCAGTGGCGTACCAAAAAATAGAGATTAACACGTATGAAAACAATAAAATTATTAAAATTTAATTAATTTTTTTATGTTATTTATTTTAAAATAATGTGTTGTATAAAATGTAACTGGGTGTCCACTGCACAAATGAACCAATGGAAAAACCGCCTCTGGCTATGTATCAAGGTTTGATGCTATATAATTAGTAAACATCTCACGCGGTTTTTATAAATTAACAGGAAACCACTTAAAAAAATGAAATATTTACTTCTAGCTAGGTCAGTTACTTTTTACGTTTATTTTCCTATATATTTTATAAATTTTCAAAAGGATTAATTAATATTATTATTAATAATAGTAATATTGTTATATAAGATTATTTATATCCATTTTTAAATTGAGCGTCAATTAAGTAAATAAAAAAAGCCCTATTATCACAAACTATGTAAAAAATCTTCAAAAACGAATCTAGTGAATAATCGAATAATATTAATATTTAAACTGAGTATTTCCGCGCACATAATTTTATTGATTGAAGTAGGCCACTGTAGTAGTTTACGAACCGTGTTTTTTCCATAGTTTTTGTTTATTTCTACTTCTAGATTCAAAGTAATATTTTTCTCGTTAGCAAAATTAACGAACAAATTAATTAAAGGACTTTTCCTATATTAAGTTACGCTTCATTTATTTTTATTGATAATATTATTTTTGCAATAAATTGACGCATAAAAATCTATAAAAGTAGGCAGGTATATTTTTGCTCAATTAAATTGCCATAATTATCGCTATTACATATTTTACGCAAATATCAATGGTTAATAAATGAAGATACTGATATGGCCATGATTTTTTAACGGATTTGTGCAATATCAAAAAGGAAAATTCGTTTTAACATTGATTTTTCAAATTTAACTGTCGATCAACTGATTAACACCTGACTAACAAGTGAAGTCATTCTTTATTTTTATTTATTATAAGCTTGTTTTGTTTGCCGATGAGTAGATGTACAGGATGTCTCCAAAACTTGAGACATAGCTTAACTATAAACTCCTGGGATAAAAATAGGATTTTTAACTCAACTTAAGTTAATAAAAAAAATTTTGCGTATAAAAAGAGTAAGTAGGCTGTGATCGATTTCTTATTATTTATGATATAGCTTGTTCTGTAACTATAAGTCAAGTTTGGAAATTCTTATTGTCTTCATTAGTAAGTTGTAAGTGTAATAAACAAACTTGGTAATAAACTTTTTAGACCTTATACTGAAAACTTTCAATTTTTTACCAACAGGATATTTTCTTTAGGGATATTTTGTGTATCCTTGTAATTTTGGATAAATCTGATGGTTTTTTCACAAAAAAATATTGTAACATGTCATTTAATGTAAATTTTAATAATAATAATAATAATAATAATTAGTCTTAAATTAATTTATAAAAGTTGTTCAATATGGCCCCCATTTTCTTGAATGCACATGCAAACATTTTTCTGTACATTCTACAGCATTTGTCGATCATTTTTAATTGATTCTGCGGTATTTTTGAATTCTAGCTCTAAGTTAATTTTGTGTTGCAAAATAATACTTACTTGACGTTAAAAGATAGGTATTCACGCTAACTATAAATAGATTATTCCTATTAAAAATGCATAAGTTATCAGATCAGATTTCATTTTTTCTGGATACTACTCGTATTTAAGAGTTATCAAAAATTAATTCTAAAGAAAATATAGTTTTGGAAAAAATAGTAGTTTGAGCAACAAGAGTGGATACGGACAATCCACTCGAGTTGTACGGTATATTTTTTCTACAACTGACGAAAAACTAACGAAAATCTACA